TTGTTTGTAAAATTAGACTATTGTCTTAAATTTCCTTCTTGTGATACCATATGAATTTCCACAACTTTTATGTGATTTCAGGAACATTTGGCACCTGCCAGTTTTATCAAAATCCCAACGGTGAGTAAATCTGATTCTTTCTACAAATGTAGCCTGCCGATAAATCTAGTTGCATGTTAGTTTGCCCTTCAACTTCATATGGCATTTCGAGACTTTAACACTCTTCAAATACAAAAAATGCTTTTTCCTCTACAAGGATCAGGTCCCTCGTGATACCAAAAGCATGGCAAATGGGTGTAGACATTTATTACCTAGTGTAGAAAATATTTTTTTCTGAAGCCACATTATGTAATTTTTGATAAGTGCTTCTCTAATTAAATAATGGGAAAAGAACTAGGCAACTCAATTGAAGGTGCAAATAATGAAGTTATACTTTGTTTGCTAGTTGATTATCTAGTCTTCAATGTTTACATAAATGAACTTATTTGAGAGCTTTATTTACGCAATCTTTCTTATCGTTTTTTCTGTTTAACAGGACCTAAATGACTACAAAGAAGGATGCAGCTTCCTGCCTAAGCTTAATAACGAAATATATAAAAATTCTACTTACAAAGAGCGATTTTCTAGCTTGGAAAACTTGGTTCTTATCATGGTAAGTCAGGATTTCAGGTCAAGAACTCATTTACATAATTCCCTGATATTTTATCTCGGTGCTTGATTTTTATTTAATTATTTTTTATTATGAGCCAAGCTTAAATTTGCTTCCTCGCTCTTTAGTTCGAGAAGGACAGCATTTTGGTGCCGAGAGAGACTTCTTGGTTCGGATATTTCCCAGATGATTCGTGGGAAACAATTTTGCCTGCTCAACAGGTCCTTCAGTTTTGTACTTCCACTACACACTATATTGTTACATATGATTTATTAGTTTCTAACGGCATATGTTAATAATGTCTCAGACAACTCTCTATACAGAAGATTGGATTGGTCTGAAAACATTGGATGAAGCTGGGAAAGTGAAGTTTGTAAACGTGTCTGGGGGCCATCTCGACATCTCATATGGCGAAATGAAGAAATATATAGTTCCATATTTGGTGGATAAGAAGGCCAATCAACAAACAGTGCTAAAACAATTTCATACTTGGTCTGAGCATGAGGAAAAGATTATTAAGCTGTTTGCTTCATATTGAATGGGATATATAATAAATCTTAGATATACGAGTCAAAGAATAAATAACAAGAATTAAGTCTCTGTACCATAACATGTGTTTATTTATGATTTTAGTGATTTCTGTATGCATACTCATATATGCAATACTCTATTACTTGTGCAAATTGGACTGTATGGAAAAGGAAACGCGACTTTGAGTCATTCCCATAATAAGGTACAAAAATGTTGTCTATTTCTGAAATATTTGAATATGCATGTGACAGGAGGCATCATGAGCACACTCTCTGTTCTTATGATTAGTATCTGAATTTATTATTGAAATTGTTTGAGCTTGAACTGAACTGGATTGGGCAAATCTAAGTCGGCTAATAAATATTTTACTTTGTACATAATTTATGGAGAGTGATGCATGTACCAAAGATGTATACTTGCTACGTTGGAACTAATTCAAACTTCACGAGAACGCACGTTTTGCCTCTGTTGATCCTAACTGTAGTTTCTTTACATCATTAATACAAGGTACTCTCTCTCTCTCTCTCTCTCTCTCTCTCTCTCTCTCTCTCTCTCTCACACACACACACACACACACACACAAAATTTTCAAGTCATATAAATTAGTTTTACTAATGATATGCATTTTAGAGTTAGTTTTCCCTTTATACAACAAATCTTCCTCTTATTCATTCTTTTTTTCTTCTCTCTTTTTGTTAGAAATTAGAAAAGATAAATGTTGTGTGTTTTCTAACAGACAGTACTTATTATATTTAGTTCATGATTGACTATGTTTCAACACAACTACACATCTTTCTAACTTTTTTTTTTTTTTTGAACTTTTATAAGCTCACTTTCCATATCCTTTCGACTTATGTCTTGTTCCTTGTGGACTTTCTACTAAACGATATGTATCATCT